CAGAAATATACGATGTTCCCGGTATTCTTGCATTCTTAGTGTCCTCTTGGAGTGTGATGCTAGTGGACATTTCCGACAACCCCTCCAGAAATGGTTAAAATGGTTAAAAATGTCGCTAAAAAGGATATTTATATGACATCGAAAACTTCCAACTCGACCAAAACATTACTTCTTTGGTCGGTATTTTGACGGAGATTTCCACGTCTTGTTGGGGTTCTTTTCTGCTTTATATGAGGCTGATCGATGGTTTATTAGGTTGTGTTTAATTGTTTTTTATTAATGGAGTGTCTTTTTTATGTGTGTTATCAATATTGTCATAGGGTTCGATGTGTAAAAAAATATATTAGATTATAGCGTTATTATCACAGCGAACATCTGAAAGGGTCAAAATGTTATCTTTTAAGTTTCTTCTGTTTGAATACTTGTTAACGGTAAATATATGTGTATTTTTTCACGTAAAAGAGATAACCTGGGCTTATGTTAACGTAGTCAGATTAAAAATTATATCGAGTTTCGATGGCAAGACGGTATATATACCATATACCTAGCGAAAGTACAGGAATCGTTTTTATTTTTTCAAATACAATTATCGACCTGCTGAAAATAAAATAAAATAAAAGCAGGGTAATTTTCCACAAAAAAACAAGAATAAATCCATTCTGTAAGGTCGAGGGAAAGGAGGCACCGAGTGGCACTCGCACCTAATGCCACTCAGTGTTGGTCCAGACTCCGTGTCGCGAGGACCTCTTACTACGATGCGGAGGAACTGCAAACTCTTCATCTTCATTTCGTGTGTGTGGACGCTTTGTGTGGTCGTGTACCTGAACACCAGCAAGGATGTGAAGGTGAGTACCGTAGAGGCATGAGTGCAGAGAATGCCTGGCGTTTTGTGCTATTACGAGGGGAAACATTTTAGTTCCCCTCGAGAGACGCTGCCTCCGTCCCCAGCCAGCCGAAGGGGACGAGATGGGGGGATGATGCCTCGGGAGTAGGGCCTAGGTCGCCAGTGCCAATAGGCCGTTTTCGTGTTATTGTAAGCCGGTTCCTGTATGGCCAAATGCATGGAACGCTCTTGCGGTGACACTGGAATGAGAGGATGGTCGGACAGGGCTTTGTAGTGGCTGTAATATCTTAGGAAAGTTCTTTTTAAAGGCGTGGTATATTGATTTTGCGCATGTTGAACTGGTGGGCGGGCCCTGAGCCGGTGGGCGGTTAGGTAGACGTGATAGCAGAGGTCAAAGTGATGTTAGGTCACTGTCAGGTCCCTGGAGTAGCTTCTGGCTCGTGTGACCTGTAAGGGAGGAGGAAGTGCCTTTTAGACAGCGCTGATATGTCGCTCGATTTCCCCCGAGTTGAAATGGATTTTTTTTAGATATTCCCGGCACGGAATGTCTGATATGGTTTGGAATTTGCGCTTTTGTACTTGAGTCTGAAATTAGTATTTAATTTAGCTTGCATTAATTTTCATTTGTTTGGGCACACACACACACACACACACACACACACACACACACACACACACACACACACACACACACACACACACACACACACACACACACGCACGCACGCACGCACGTATGCACGCACACGTGTGTGTGTGTGTGTGTGTGTGTGTGTGTGTGTGTGTGTGTTTATGTATGTATGTATGTATTCATATACTTATTTACTTATTTATTTATATATTCATTCATTTATATATATATATATATATATATATATATATATATATATATATATACATATATATATATATATATATATATAAAA